GGGGGTGGGGGGGATGGGGCCTGGACCCCTGGGTGGGGGGACCCCAGCCCTGGCAGTCTCTCCCCTCCCTTCCCCTCTCTTCTGGTGCCCCTTCCCCACCTTGGGGTGCTCTGGAGCTGCTAACAGGAGGAGTCTGGAGCAGATGGGTTCCCCCACCTCCCCAAATACAAATTATTTTTTATTTTTAGCTTGTTCCCATCCTTTTCGGTTTTACCAGCTCCTAGGAGCTATGGCACTGCCTCCTCTGTTCCCATCCAGACCTTCCCCTGCCTGGGAGCTCCTGAGGGAGGAGATTGCTGGAGCCGGGGGTCACCCAAAAGCTGTTCCCACCCTGCCCTGAGTGAGGGATGAGCACCATGCCACCTGTGGGATCCCCACCACTTCCAGGAGTGCTTTGCTGCCAGGTTTTTTACTCTCCGAGCCGTGTGAGTGTGTGTGTCTGCTGAAGTCTAAATTAAAGAAAAAAAAAAAAAGAAAAAAAAACCACACAAATATTTAAACATTTTTTAACAAAAATTTATTTTTATATTTAAGCTAAATTGCCTTTGAATTCCTTCAAGCTTGGTTCAGTGAGGCTGCCAGCCCCCCCACGCTGTTGCTAGTGTTCAGCTGTGCCCCGGCCGTGCCCTGGCCCTGCCCCGCAGGAACTGGCTGTACTGGGGAAAGCAGCCCTATCTTGCAGGCTCTGCCGCTGCACGCCCCTCCCTGCCTGTAACCCCCTTAATTTTAAAATGTCATGTATGTGGATGTGACTAAGCCTTTGGTTTTTTTTTAATTCTCCGAGAAGGAGGCCCAGGAGCTCTGGCGTGTTACAGTGCCAGGGCGTCTCTCCCAGCAGGCAGGAAGGTGGCGAGGTGGGACAGAGGACACGTGGGCAGCAGCCTGCGGGCAGGCACCTGCTGTGGTGCTGCCAGGGGCTCTTCCAGCCTTCCCCTCCCCACACGGAAGCCGTGTCCCCTCTCTGCCCAGATAGTCCCTGGCACTTGGGCTGCAGGCACAGCCAGGGGGAGGCTGGGTTTTAACTCAAAACTGAGGACTTGGATCATTCCTGGTGTGGCTGAGGAGGATTTTTAGTGTGAATGTGCAATTTTCTTCCTTGCTTCTTCTATTCCCAGTTTAAAATAAAAAGGTTGTGTTCACATCTGCCTTGCCCCTTGGATTCCTGGGCCTAAGCAGGGCCAGGAACTGCTGGTGCAGCACAGGGCCCTCTGCTGCGTGTGCCTCATTCCTGCTGTTCAAAGGCAGGTGCACAGACAGGATTATTATTAGTAGTATTATTTCACTTTTTTCCTCCCTCCTTTGCTTTGGTAGTTTCAGGACAAGACCGCACAAACATGCTGGAAAATATGGCAGAGAAAGAAACTTTTAATCTGCTTCATCCTTACAGTCAAAGGCTTTTCTGAAACCCCACATCAGGCTGGAGTAAGGACATTTTGTGGAGGGAACAAGATAAAATAACACCCTTAATCCAGCTGGAGCGCTCCAGCCCTGCAGGGTGCAGAAATGGTGGCTGTCTGCAGCCCTCCCAAGGCTGCCCCTGCCCAGGTCTGGCTCTGGGGGCAAACCTTCAGCTGGGGGCTGGCTGCAAGGACCAGTTCCCCCTCCCTGGCCCTCGGGTGACCCCAGGGCTGACCCTGGGTGCAGGGGAGCCGGGTCTTACACAATTTCACCACAGCTGCAGCTGGCACAAAGCTTTACTTGTATTCAGGTGGCAGTGGAGGAGCACTCCCTGCCAGCCCCAGCTGGGCACGGTGCTGCCCAAAAAATGTTATTTCACTCCTTCACCTGCTTCTTTTTCCTCTTCCTCTTCTTGGGAGCTGCTCCTGGCTCTGTTGTCACTCCGTGCTGTGGGTTCTCCTCAGCTGCCACATGCAGGGAGCTGCAGACCAGAGTGAACAGCCTGAGTTGTGCTCACCCCAGCTCCTGCCCTCTGCACCCACTACAGCCAGACCCCTCCATCTTCCCTCCTCTTCCTCCTACCAGAAAGGTGATGCCCTCCCTCTGGGTGCCCCAGCAGCCCCGAGCCCAGCCACATTTCCCCCCCCCAATAGCTGCTGCAGGCAGACAGCCCCCCAGGCCCTCCCCTCACCTGGGGGCAGCAGCCTCTTCCCCACACCGCTCCAGGACAGCCACGAAGAAGCCGTGGGTCAGCGTGTCGGCAGGAGAGGCGCGGAGGCAGCTCTCCGCCCCGAGGAAGGTGGCAAGTCCTCGGCAGGGCCAGGAGGGGAAGGTGTTCACCAGCCTGTGGTGGGGATGAGCGTCAGTGCTGAGCCCCACAGCAGCCTGCACTGTGTCCCCCCCACGCTCCCCCCACCCCAAGGCAAACGCACCTGAAGGCTGAGCCATGCTCCTGCAGCACCGCGTGCACCACGTCCTCATTCTCCTCCCGGTGCAGCGAGCAGGTGGAGTAGACAAGGCGGTGGAGAGCCGGGAAGCTCAGGGCATGGCTCAGGACCTTGCGCTGGAAACCAGCCAGCGCCTGCAGCCTCTCAGTGCTCGGGGCAGCCTCCTCCCCCGGCCCCCGGGTCACCATCCCTGTGGGGGGGAGCAGCCATTGCCCGGGGCTGCAGGCGCCCAGAGCCCAGCTCCAGTGGGGGGCAGCTGGAGCCCCATGCATTACCTGAGCCACTGCAGGATGGGTCGAGAAGGATATAAGTGACCTTGCTGTAGCAGGGGTCTCCGGGATCCACAGTCAGGAAGTCCTGCTGGGCCAGCTGGAAGCCAGTGACGCCAGCCCGCATCAGCATGGTGTTCATGGTGGCCAGGCGCTTGGTGTCCACATCAAAGGCAAAAATCTGGCTGAAAGCAAAGCGTGACACCGGAGAGAGGCATGAACATCCCTCCCAGCCCCAGGAACCATGTGTCAGGATGCAGCCACAGTCCCAGACAGGCAGAGCCTGGGAGCTGCTCCCCCAGAAGCAGGGCTGTCCAGCAGACAGCAGGGTCAGGCACTGGGAATTTAATGCCTACGTGTCTTCACATTCCCTCAAGCCCTTCCAATGGCTCAGCACTATCGCTCAGAGCCACCAGCTGACTTAGGGAGAAGTGGGTGGGCCAGGGTGACAGGCTGCAGCTCTTCTTGACACCTTTACCTCGTGTTCTCTGCGGGCTTGGGGGGAGCAGGGCCACCTGCAGCCCTTCCCTCCCCCAGCAGACAAACCTGCCCTCACCCCTTGTTCTTCAGGATGGCAGCCAGGTGGCTGGTCTTGTTCCCAGGGGCAGCACAGGCATCAATGACGTGGGAGCCGGCAGTAGGGGCAAGGAGGAAGGCAGGGAGGCAGCTGGCCTGCAAGAGGGCAAACCCCTGTGAGAGGTGGAGGCAGCAAGCACCCCTGGCCCCTCTTTGGGGCACAGCTCACACTGCAGGGTCACAGGCAGACACAGCAACATGGGGCCAAGTCCACCACCACTATCCACCACTGGAAGCCTCTGCCCAGTGCACAGTCCCTCACCCCTCCCAGCTTCTGGTCCCCAGCTCCCTGGGGGTGGTTTACAGCCCAGTTCAGACCAATTCATCCTGTGCCTACAGGCTACAAAAGTAAAGCTGCAGGGGAACCCCATAGCTGCAGGCTGCATTCACAATGTCTATTTAAAGTGTTGCTGCAAAGCTAGCCCAAGCCCAGACCCTGGCATGGAGGAACAGACTGACCCTCCAGCCATGTCACCAGTTTTCCCACCCCTGCAAACCTCCTGCTCCCCCACCTTGTCCTGCAGAATTATGTGTCCTGAAGTATACAGCAGGTTGTCATGGAGGTCTGTCTGCGGAGGGAAAACCAGCAGCTCCGGAAGATGAAGATCCAGTAAGAATTTCTTCCCAGAGAGGGCTCTCAGTTCCTCCACACTGTCCATGAGGCACAGAGAGGATGAACACACAGTTGTGTTTCACCATGCCCAAAACCAGAGCCCCACAGAACCCAGGCAGAGAACCTCCTTTGTCCCAGACCTCCTCTCTACTTTGGCATCACGCAACACACAGAGATGTGGAAAGTAAGAGTGGGGAGTGACAGAGACCCAACCTGTCCACTGCAATCACCAAGACCAACAACCCTTCAGCCCGCAGGACCCTATCCCAAGCCCTTGCCTCTTGCTGTCATCCCAGATAAGGTGCGATGGCAGAAAGAAACGCTCACCTGGTTGCCTTGCCCAGGTAGGAGTAGCCCTGGCGCTTGAAGAAGTCGATCACATCGTCCACACAAGTCTTCAGGGTGTTGACTCGGACGTAGCGCGGTACCTGGGAGGCTGGGGGAGCCGCTAGGGTCAGAACCTGCCACCACTGCCGCCAGCACCGGGAGGCCACCCAGCCCCAAGGCCCACTCACCTCCAGGGCTCGCTGCCTGTGCCGGGGCCAGGAGATCCTCGTTGCGGCTCACCTTCTGCTGCACCTTCAG